GATGCAGACACTACAGACAAGTTTATGCTGAATTTATCCATATATGTATGTATTTACCAGTCTGATCATTGTACATACATATGTACATACATACGTATGTGCTCGATTTGAATTTGACATTTGCAGCGCTTTGTATTGGCAATTTGCTCACAATCAAAGCGTTTATTATGCTAATTTGCAGCTGATTAACATAAAATCACAAGCGTGAACCATGAGAAAATTCGAGCATCCGTAATCTTTAAATATCGTTAGACTTTGTTATTTGATGGTGCCATCAGTAACAACAATACAACCTGTCACTTTTATCTGCATAGTGGCGACTATTGGCATGGACACTATGTATTTGCGATAGATAAATATGCCACTGAACTGTGTTGTTTGGTCCGTTTTTTTGTGAAGAATAGCACCGTATATAGTTTTGTTAAAGCGTCACTAATTGCAAATGCTGATTACTTAACTGATTTCCGCTCGATGACTAATAAATGATTCGCGGCTCTTTAGAAACAATGCGCTTAAGCTGAGAGAAACTAAGGCGCCGAATAGAGGTAAATAGGCAATAAATTAATATTAGAAGCCGGTTTTTAGCAGAGTGAATGAGGAAAGTAAGCAAAATTAAAAATAGTAAGTGCGCCTCGGCCAGACTGGGGAAATGAAACTTACGTTACATATCTAGTTTGCCTCATAACCAATATACATACATACATACATATAAGCATAACATAAACATACCTTTGCCTTCATCCTTTTCTTTATCTATGTACGTACTTACCTTTACTTTCGATCTTGTATTGGTCTTTTTCTAAGTGTTATTCTTTAACCTTTTATTAGCAAGTTTTTGTTTAATACCATGTGCATACTCTCAAGAAGCAGTTGTCTCCGTCCCAACTATTTCCGTGTGCAATTTCCGTTGAATTTGCCAATTTACTCCCAACAAACTAACCGGCGAAGTTTCACTTCAAAAACATTTTAGTTATGGAATGAAAATACCGTCTGGAATTCTGTGGGAGTTTTAGATTTTCTAGCTAATAATACGTTCGAATAGGAATACTGTCTTCCCAACCTCTATTCCGGTTGATTTGAGGCTTTGGAATCGAAGCAGCACCAATCGATGACCGCCAACACTCTCTTTATGGAGCATCTGCCATTGTTTGGAATCATAAGGTACATTTCAACCGTGCTTTTCTGAGCCTTAGAAGTATTTTCATGGGCGTATACCGGGGTGGACAAGTTAGGCTGTAGCCGTCTAAGCGGTTTTGGCCGTGTCCAAAAGAGCATGCCAGTCATTTCCTAAGTGAGAGGCCCAGTTCTTCTCCACTTCAACTTTCCAACGCAGTGTTGGCCTCCCTCTGCCTCTGCTACTACCAGTGGGTTCCAAGTTGAATACTTTCAGAGCTGGAGCATCGGTGTCCATTCGAACGACATGTCCAATTCTGCGTAGCCGCAGTATTTTCATTCGCTGCACTATGTCTTTATCGTTGGATCGTCGGACAGTAATACAAGTTTATTATAACAATAATTCCAATTAAAAACGGTCTGTATAAAGAAAACCAGTGTTGGAAAATTAAATTGTTCCTTCAGTATGAAGTTTATACGAAAACTGTACTTTTCGACAGTAAATTGTATTGATTTTTAAATTGCTCATATATTTTCTTAGTACATCCCCCCTATGAGAAAGTGTACTTGTTTAAGTATATATATTTACATATTTTCAGTTTAACAAATTATTTTCACGTGAACATGTGCTTCATTTAACATAAATATGCTGCGCCGGATTAAGGGCAGGGCCGTCGGGGCTGCGGCTGGGGCTGAAAGAACAAAAAAATAATTTTCAGAGATTACAGAAAAGATCGCAGGTTATTAAGAAAAACTTGTCAGCACCGTCAATTCACCTAGCATAGCTTCTCCTGGCTCTGGAGAGTTTAACGACTCACCCAATAATGGAAATTTCTTTAGTATGCTGGAACTAATAGCTCAGAATGACCCCGAACATATCAAATAATACGGAAATAAGGGACGAGGGCAAGTTAATTATTTATCCTCAGCAACCTGCGAGGAAATAATAAAGAAAGTATAGGCAGAAATAACAAGCCAGATCAAAAATAAAAAAATAATCGTACCTAATGTTCCATCTCTGTTCGGTGGCCTATCAGTAGCAATACTTTTTTAACATGAGTAGCAGTCACTTTAAGCTACTTTTAAGTCATAGTGATAAAATAACCGGTAGTGAAATATCGCTCATCACTAGTGTAGTGCGACCACCTTTATAAACCTTGACAGAATAAAATTGCTCAACGTATTCATTCAAAAAAACTTTATGTTATTGGGACAGATTTGTTGTCAAAAATGTTTTCTTAAATTCTTAATTTTATTCTTTGAAGAAGCTTATTAAAACAAAATTTTTAGATTATATAAAATGTGCTGTCCTATAACATGGGTTTCGACGTAAACGCCTGCAATAACATTCCGCAATCCAGGTATTACAGAAGAGTTTAAAATAGCGAAATTTTTATATCCAGCTTAAAATATTTATTTAGTTCTTATTTTATTATAGCACAAGCAGTTGCATGGATTGTTTTTCTAACGGATGTTATAATAAAATACACAATAATTACCACATTAATTTCCAAAATTGCCAATGTCATCCGTGTTGTGTAAGTTCTATGATAAATGATCACACCTACTCACTGCTCAAAAAAATTTGCCGAAAAGTTATAAAAGATTATCAGCGACAACAAAGTCGAGAAAGATATACAATATTTGATGGTGGAAACAGCATCAACGTCAGAATACATCGATCATCAATTGGTTAGCTAATGTATATATCTATTGTATGACATCTGACATAATGCATTTCGAACGTTTCAGGTGAAGATGGCTTGAATCAAAATGAGATCAAACGAATATCACATAAAAGTGGAAAGGGTCGCAATAAAAGCCCAGAATATTACGAAGAAACCGGCAAAGGCAAAGGAAAATATCGTAAATCTTACCCAAATGACTTCGGAGATGAGGGGATAAAACTTAGTAAAAGAAAAAATGCGGAAAAAGGAAAATATGGTAATGAAGATGATAAGCCGAAAAGAAGCCAAGCGAAAGGAAAGGTTGAAGAAAATCGCGATGACAATGACAATAAAAAGCGGGGAAGAAAAGGCAGGCATATGAAAGAAGATGAACGCAGCAAAATTGAAGGCCACGTAAGTGAAAAGCAAGAAAAACGGATCGCGGGAGAGAGAAAAGAAGGCGAGATTGGAAAACGAGTTCAGGGTAAGATAGGTATGAGCCATGGCGCTGATGGTGGAAATCCTTACGTTGAGGCATCACAAGCCAAAGATAAGGGCAATAAGCCTGAAGGTGCTTCTAAGGAAAGAAGCTATGATAAAAGTGGTATAGAAAAAGATAAGAAATTGGACGAGATTGGTGACGACGACAAAAGTAAATTATATTCTAAGTCAGGCAAGAAAACGCCGGAAAAACCAGGAAAATCGGACAAAATTAAAACAAATAACGAAGAACTTGGAGCCGGGACTGAAACAAAACGGGGAAAAGGATGGAAAAAAAGTAGCCTTGAAGATGGAACCAGCAACGTTAACGACAATGTTAAATCAGGTTATTAGGATAAAAATTTCTGATTTATAATTAACATAAGATTCAAATCTTAGTAAAATCCATGGTAAAATCTAATGCATTTTTTAGTTGTAGGTGCTAAATCAGGTAGTCGAAAGATGGATGCCAATGGCAAAGCGGACAGGAAAGACCAAACGCAGATAGAGCGGAATTCCCGATTTAAAGATAATCACGTCATAGGTGGTAGAGACGGTAAGGGCAGTCATAAAGGTCGTCGAGGTCTAGACAGTCAGGCCGATGCCACCACCACCACTAAAAACGCGTCTAGCAAAAAGGGTTTGCCTGTAATAACAAACCTACGGGCAAAAGTACGCAAGGGTTATGATATTATGCCGAGTGGAAAGAAATCAATTGGAAAGGGAAGTAATCGTTCAAGTGAATACCAAGAGTTTGGAATAAAAGCAAGGCTTGGTCAAAGGACAACAAACAAAACGCGAAAGCAAAGACTATCGAAAAGTAGCAAAGATCGCATTAATGAACGATATGGTTCTAAAAGAAATCGTATGTCTCGAAGCTCCCGTGGTTTTGGTGGCTACCGAACTCGGCTTCCAAGTCGTTACGATGAAATCCGAATATGTGATGTACTTCGTGCTCATATGGAGCAGCGTGAACTTTGGTAAGTCTAGATTACATTGCGTCAAGGCCCTTAGCTAATTAATTCAATTACTTATTCCATATCTTCCTTTCCAGTCAAATACGACGATGCTGTTTACCGTATCCTTGTGACTGTAGTGTAGTTTGCTGCAAATCTCCATCGAGATGTTGCCGCATTCGTTAGGACTTTTTATTCTTCTTGTATGTGTGTTTTTTGTAGATATTGTATTAAATAAAAATCGTCAACATAAAAACATAAATAACTAGTTCTGTAGGTTGCGATGAATATTTTTTTTTTTTATAAGTTGCTTTTCAATAGAAAGTTAATTAAGAGTAACTAGTATATGTCCATATCACTCATTTACTTCACAACTGGCAACTCTCAACTTGCAACTGCAGTTGCCACAAAGTGTGTATTCAGGCAACTGGATTTTGTTGGTTGCTGGGAATGTTTTTGGAGCCTATTTAGGAAAAAAAAATTTAAAAGCATGTGAAATATTTTGGTCTTTAATAGTTTAGACAATACTAACATTTGGCAATGTATTTCGCTTTTACAGAATAACGTGAAAATGACAACAAAGGAACAATTTGAGATTTCAGTTCTCGTGATGAGCGTCCTTTTTGGTGAATCAAAAGTAAACTGATTGCAAATTTTTCCCTCTATCAACTGAAGCACCTCTTTTAAACCTACGAAATACCAAATTTTCTAAATTGAAATGATTGCTGTGGCACTTCCTTCTGGTAAAAGTTGAAGAGGTGCGCAAGCTTTTAGGAGCGGAATACAGGTTCTTTTGAACGTCTGGAATATGCTTTGAATGTGAACACAAAAAGATAAAAAAAAACCTTTAAAGCATTAACTTTTGCTCTCAGTGCGGGCGGTAGCTCTTAGAGGGTTGGAATTATCCTTGTCGTCGTTCGTTGTAAAGTCAAGAAATTAACGACATTTACTAAGAGACTATTACTCGGTGAATGACTTCATCAAACCTCGACCACCGCCCATTGCAGACGAAGAGCTTCAGCTAAGTAAATTTTGTTTAGTCACAAATCATTTAACTTTTACTGATGAAGAATTTTTATTATTCTAGTAGAAATATTTAGCACAAAAAAAGCATTGTGTGTGTCAACGAAAAATGTAGAAAGGCGACCCTTAAGCTAGACCAAAACACAATTTTTTTTTTTTTGTAATAGTCTTGCAAAAATACTTTAGACTCGGTGATGTACGGCGAACTTTTTTTTGGTAGCTTGCATTTAAGTTAGTACGGTCTTATATTCACGTCAGGCATTTTTGCAAATGTCTAGTCAAATCGTGTTTATTTTTATTTCTTTAAACGCTGTGGTAACGCAATAACCTCAAGTGGTCTAACCAAATAAGGATAAGCCTGTTTATTTTCCACCCTCGCGGAACCACCGTTAGGCATTACTTCGCTCGTTCTGTGCCATCACTTCTCATTTCATGTGACAGGTTTTATGGACTCGATATTATTCCATTCTTTCCGCAATGTCTGCAATTCCTCTGAACGCTTTTGCCGCCACCACGATTGATACATCGTCTACAAAACCTACAAACGTTCCGCGGTTAGTCGCAGGATGCCATCGTACATGATAGGAGTCCCAGTACCGATCCGTAGGGTACGCCAGCTGATACTACGTCGTAAGTCGCCTGTTTTTCACTGTCATAACGAAGCATTCTAGAGCCGCGAGATAGTTTGAGATAATTGCTTGTAGGTACAACTAACTGATTTTTCGTGTCCAACAACAGATGGCTGTACTTTCTAATTGGAATGATCATAAATGCCTTTACAAATCATTTGCTCACACATTCAAGATAGCAGTCCACACAAATTAGGCACATCAAAGCCAGTTGTGGGAAAAAATAATACATGTGCCTACATATGTATGTATATACATACATATATACTTGTATATACTAAAAACCAAGCAGCGCTCAACAGGTTTCCTAATACACACATGCCAACATACATATGTAACTACATACTTGTATAATAATAAAATAAAAATAGTCGCTCTAACTGATTTGGGCATCATTTGATTGACGAACAACGTTCCACACAAAGCTTTGGAAATTAGTTAAAATCGCTGTTTTTGGTAATTTTTATC